TGCCCTAACTTTAACACTTGTCTAGTTGGGCTGAGCTAAATAATTTCAGGGGATACAATTTGTTTTCTTCAAAGTTTAAAAGTTTAATTTTATTTTTCAATTCAAGCACTGTACAGTTCAATTAAAGCAAATTAACAGGGAATATTAATCATATGATGGTTTATGAKTTTTYTACGTCATTTTAATATGCCATTGTAGTTTATAATTTTTTTTTAGAACCTAACTATATATTCTAATAATTTTGAAGTACAATAATAATAATTTAGAWAAGCRCTACCAGAAACTCTCTTTAAAAAATTTGATCGTCCTAAAATATTTTCCAACCGGCTCAATAGATCTCCTTGTATCAATTATATTATGTATAATATTGTTCGCAAGTGTTTTATCGCAAGAATTTTAATCTTTTTCTGTAGAAAAAAGAAAGAAGACGAACAAAATAGGCATTGCATGGCCATCAATTCACATAACAACAATAAATAATTATAATAATAATATAATCAAACGTCTCGTTTGAAAAACAAGTGAAAGTTCGCACTATCGTGATCATATCGTTCTGTTATTGAGATTATGCATCAGCAACAGCTGAGGCACTGGCGATATAATAACTATTAGCCATTTATAATATGTAATAAAATAATTGATAATTATTACTATCCGAGTCGGATCAGTGGCCATAAAGTCTAAGGAACGGACGTCAGCTTCAATGTTACGCGCGTTTATCGCGATGGCCTCTTTATAATAACATAACAATATTATATTATCATAATAACATGCAAAGTGGGAGGAAGCAAAACCTGTGCCGAGGTCTGCGTATGTACCTACAAGACGTAATACAATACGATGTATAATAATAACAACAACGATAATAATCGCAACAGAGCTCAAACGAAAACAGATATTATTATTATTATTATTATTATTATTATTATTATTATCGTCGTAAAGTGACTTTGGTCCGCGTTATGTGCTAATTGGGATAAATCCTAATCGTGCGCCGTCTTGTAACTGCTGTGGCTGTAACAAAAGCTGCACGGCGCTGGTCATGTCACGAGCGGACGTCCGGTCGTCCGGCCAGGTACCGTCATTCTGGCACAAATGTATTTTCTATATAATAACGTGGTCGATACGCGCTCATTTTGAGTGGTTTTGAATCGGATAGGAAGGTTTCTACCGAAACTTTACAATAATATGCTACGACAATCGATGTCAGCATTATCATTATATTATGAATATTATATACGAACTCCGTCCACGAAAACGATCTTGAAAGTTTACGAAGATCGACCAAAAAAAATTATTATTATTATTATAATATTATGTCCGTCAAAAATGCATTCGTACGAATCACAATATGATCCCAGAAATTTCGCACCATATGGATATGAGAGAAAAATGGCGTTGGAAGTGCAATATGTGATTTGGGATTTGCGGATGATAGATTACACGGTTGGAACTAAATTTTATACATTATTAAATGTCAAACTTCCGATACCTAACGAAAGTGGATCGAGTGGAGGGRACTAATAAAAGGAAAAAGAGAGTTGTTTGTTTSAAGTTTGTACCAAAATGTTGTATGAATACGATATAAGTTAATGTGATGCGTACGATTTTTTACCAYAAAATGTAATTGAGAATTTTCACTATATCTGACCCACCATTAATAATTTAGGTACACCTATGCATAATTTGCATTTTTATTATTGGATATACTTTGATATAGTTATTGTAATAACTAATAATGACAATATATTGTAAGTATTTTATTCTCAAACAAAAATTGTCATATAAATGCAATAAATGTTAAAAAAAAAAAAAAATTACCAACATTAAAATTTAAAAACTCTATTTTTGTGCAGGTTTAGATAATTTAGTAACGGAATTCATACATAGTTTTTTTTTTTTTTAATAAAGTAAAAAGCCTACGATGCCTGCAATATAGTTAAGTTGGATTTAAAACGAAACTCGAGAAGTGCAGTGAACTCATTTCGTAACTTTACATATTTATAATATTTATATTGATATAGCTGCAACGGTAGTGCACGACGTGATAAAATTATAATTATAGTACATTGTACTATGATATGTGTTAATGTGTTATGGCAAAGCGGAATACTGGGTAATGTGGTTTTGAACGAGCAATTTGAACAGCGAATATAAATTATTATAGTATCGTTCATTAATGTGTTACATTTTAATATGTTACGAATATTTTAAAACAGTTATAATCATAATCATAATAAAATAATATTTATAAAATTTAAAAATAATATATTACTCATATTATTGTTTTATTTTAGTTATAAATTAAAATCAATATAATCTCATGAGAAACTATGCCATTTTAAAAACACGTTGTATAAACCAATTTTTATTTTACTACTATTTAAGAACTAATTACTCATAACTACATAATATATTTTGTATTTATATTTTTGTTTAGTTATTCCATAAATATTATATAATTACGAATATTATTATAAGTGTTTTAAAATATGTGTAATATTACTTTAAAATATTTTAATAAAATTAATGATCGATATTATAAAATATTTGGTTTATATTCGTCGTCCACATTGTCCAGTAGACCACGTATATTTCACCCGTCACATATTTTAAACATTATTTATATTTTTATCGAGTAATAAGAGGAAATTAAATACGTACGTTGCACACGCGTCTTGTTGTTGCCGTGCCGCCGTCCGTCCCAACTTTCAACGGTTTGCAGTCTCCAATCGAGCACGGGCGAGTCGGCCGGCGATATGGGTCTGGACCGGAGCTGAGTTGTGACTGGCACATAACTATCACCGACGAACAGCACCTGTGAAACGACAAAAAAAAAGTTCACATTAAATTAAGTAAATGTGAATCTAATTAAATAGTGATCAGTAGTAATGCGAGTGTAAATGTACTCAAAATTCACACGAATACACACACATCATTGACATTTAAAACAATCYAAAAGTCATCTACCCTYTAATAGTAATTTATATAGCGTATCATTTAAATAATAATTAARTATACGAGTATTAAACATTTTTTTACTCAAAATGTATTACAACGTTATTATTTTCGTCAATCTCTCGGCTRTAAAATTTTTTATGAAAAACAAAATCTTGTACATTATTATCGTAAGTCATATCGTTAAATAAACGTTTTTCGAACTCAATTTAAATAATAAACAAGCATATATAGGTACGTAACACACACGACAAAAAAAACCACTCGAAAAAACTTTAATTATTTTTTTAAAACACCGTCTTGGGGGGGGGGTAGGTAGGGGAGGCACGAACTTGTGCATAGTGCAAACTGCAAGTGCAATCGCGTCTACCCATATCGCAGTTGCAGCAGCCTAGGTGGTGCAGATCAGCCAACCACGACGAAGTGTCGTTGATGGTCTTGACGACTATTAATTATGATTAGACATTATATTATTTTTATTGCCGCTGCAGATTACAAAATATATTATCTTATTGTAAATGTACGTGCGTCACCGTTATACCGGAAACTGGGTTAGGTAATACTCGGCGGCGGCGGCGGCGTATTAATATGATAATAATAATAATATAACGTTATACATATTACTATATTATATGTATGTCATGCACGGCCATGATAGCTATGCGGTTGTGGGAAGATGACCACCGCCGCAGAATCCGGACATGTTCCATTAACGTCATTCGCTGCAATTACTAAATTATTACCCTTCAGTTTTCTTGGACAGCTCGGTCGTCTAAACACTCAAACGATTACCGCGGACGCCTACAATAATAGTAATAATATATACCCTCCGTATATACTCGACAATCAACTAATGGCATAATTTACCGTCATTCAACAATATAATAATAATATTATAATTTATAAGCCCATCGCTCCGTGTAAAATATACTATATCAGCAATCAGGTGTGTGTGTGTGTGTGGCGCATACCCCTTTTGCATAATATATATATATATATATGTAGGAGTCCATCATTTGAACAGTTTTCAAACTCGCATTATATTAATTTATTCCTATTATATTGATAGTCTATAAAGGAAAATAAAGTTATATATTTTGTCGACGGGTGTCTAAGGTCATCAACTATTACGTATAATATGGTAGGTAATATCATAATAATAGTATAATGATATCCAAAGGCCATAGGTTAATAACAACGCATAGATACCGAGAAATACGTTCAGCTTTCCGCCCACCGCCTAGATGAATATTTTTTTCTTTTCAGAAATGTTTATATAATATACACATCTTAAAGGTTGATATTAATATCATTTAAGATTTGTCGTTTTTATCCTTTCCAAACGTAAGCATTTTTTTTT